CCTACCATTTATTGAAGTCCTAATACACTCAAGCACTCTACTAATATATACATATGTTACCATATTTAATCCTCAGAAAACCCCGATAGAATACATAATATTTATCCATACTGGAGATGAAAGTAAAAGATTCAGGGAGATGAAATAATTTCATAGGTCCCATGGATAAAATATTTCAATCCATGTTGTTCCAGATTAATTGACATTGACACCCACGCTCTGTCCATCCCTATCTCTGCCCCACCTCTATTCTTCATTTAATGAGCAAACTGTGTCACATTCCAAATTAAGACAAATTGTAAGCACAACTGAAATGCAAAACACTTTTTTAAGGATAATGCCACCCTTATGTTACTACTACCTGGTACAACACCCCTCTCTCCTTTGTTATTTAATGAATGGCAGGATTAGGATGGATATTTTTCCATGTACACTGCAGAATATTTTATATTAGTATAAGTACATGAAAGAAAAAGAAAACACTTGTTTTTATTTTAAACTGAGGAAACAAAGTATTATTTTATGTGCAATTAACTATGTAAAGGACACAGTGACTGTCATTAACAGCACTGTCTTGCAATGCATGAACCCTGGTCAAAAGTGTTTAATGTGAGAAGTAATTTCCTTAAGACAAAACTCAACTGTAAATACCCTCATCACCTGATGCTGAAAAAATGGCTACTGTGTATCTTTCTTGGATTTTAGTGTAATTTCATTATTATAAAAATAAATTCAACTACTTCATTAAGACCTTTTGAAAATATATCTCTATGGCATAAGTTGATAAAAGTTGGTTGTATTCACTATCTTCTGTCTGACTCATGTTTCACTCACATTTTGTTCAATGCACTTCATTTGGAATTGCTAGGTGAATATAATTAGCCATAATTATTATTGAAACAATTCCATATTCAAGAATATTAAAAAGTGGAAAACTGTCTAACACTCACCAGTAACAGTAATTATTCATCTTCCAATAATATAAGTGCTCTAACTCTGCAGGTATGAAATATATTTTTCAAGTATTCAAACAAAGTTACCTTTCAAATGACTATGGCACAAAACTGTTGAAACATTAACTTTTATATTTTAATATCTTATATTTTGGTTTTTTCTCTGTTGAAAAACAACAGTGTAGTAGAGAGACTTAAATACCACTTGCTTATTCACTTTATCAATAACTATAATTTCTCCAGTATCTGGTTTATTATTCAACTAAGTTTCTAGCTCTATCACTCTACTGAAAATGTCTTTTCCCAAAACAGTGTTAATTATCTTACCAGTTCCTCCTCTTACTTGATCTTTTCTGAAATATTTCATAACCCCTTTCCAGACTCTTGGAAATGTTTTATACTTTTTGCCCCCATCCCCTTCATAAGATACCTTCTTCATTTAGCACTACTGGCATTTTCTCTGGACCTGTTCTGACCATACTTTCTCAGGCTCTTTCACTAGTTTCTCTCCCATACTGACTCTTAAATCTCAATATTCTCTGTGAAGTATTCTGGCCCCTCTTTTCAATATTTTTGTTGTTTTAATGATCCCTCCCACTACCATGCCTTGAAATATTATATACGTATTGAGTTCCAAGCCTATACCTTCAGCCTAACACGTTCTCCTAATCTGCCCACCCATTCACTAATTCCTCTATTAGCTGACTGAATTACTACTACCTCAAGTTCAGTATATCTGATACTGAGAATTAAACTGGTATTCTTTCTTCCCCAACCACAAGAAAACTGTTCTTCCTTCTTTCATATCCTCTATCTCAATCAAGTAACTGTGTGCAGACATGATGCAGAGAGCATTAGTTCCACCTCTCCTTGGCAGACACTGTGTCCCCTGCACTCCAAACCTGAGCTAACACTTCTGCCATGTGCCCCCAGCCCTCCTCTACTCATCCTTCACTATAAGTGGTTTGTTCCCCTTTGTCTCTCAGTTCCTCTCCTCACTGACCTCCCAGCCTCTTAATTTACCTTTCTCACTTCTGGGTGAAGAATATATCAATCCTCTGCTCTAAGGTTATAATGGCTTCCACCTGCTTACAGGTTACACTCTAACATCTTTACCATAGTTTGAAGGTTTTCTTACAATCTGGCCCAACTCATCTCATTAGCACTAAATCCATTCATTCCCACCACATATTCTGGACTTGAGCTGCAGTACTTCTAAGACCTAGGAATATTGTCATGCCTTGCATTTTTATTTGTTCTCTCTATCAGCTACACAACTTCTCTGCTCTCACAGTGTTTTGTTCATGAGTATGGTATGCCATGTTGTAAATGTTGTGTATTGTTCAACTGTAACTTTCCTGGGGGCAGGGACAACAATACCCTAGCCAGCCTCTACCACAATGACTTCAAATAAGTCACAGAGTGAGTCCTCAACGACTCTTTGCTGTTACTGACTTAATAAAACATTCATACAATATACCTTATGCATTAAACGTTCATATATATTATGTACATATATACGTATATATATGCTAATATACTACGTATGTGTATAGATGCATACATGTATGTTTATGGTGTATGTATGTGCATATGTGCACATACTTTAGGGCTGAAAAGGCCTTTAAATATCATCTTTTCTAATCAATGAATATCACAAAACAGGAAACCAAGAACTAAAGTCGTTAAATGACCTAGCTAACATTCTAAAGCTCCTTAGTGACAAACACAGTGTTACAGTTCCTCTCTTAGCTCCTCATCCAGTGTACCTTTCACTACATCACTTTAATTCAATGATCTCACCAGTAATGTGATTCCAAATAATCTGCTCTACCAAGACCAAGCCTATCCCACTAGAATCTTGGACTGTTTCACCTTATTTTCTCTCTCAAATCCCTGCCTGCCTCTTTATTTTCATCAAATGAGGAACACTTATGATTCTGTCATCTCTATATCTTCATTTACAGTGTATTCCTCTCCTTTAAATATTCCCTATTTCCTCCAATAACTATTCTCAGTTCCTTTATAGATATGGTGAAGTCTCCTTTCCCTCTGGGAAAAAATAAATAGGTCATTCTTTTGCTCTCCTGTCTAATTCACCATTTTTTTCACCAAACCAAGGCTCACCATAAAAGAGATTACATTATTCTCATCATACTACCTTATATATGTACATGCACATAACTTTGAAGTTTATAGATTACTTTCTCATCACTCACTCATTTGATCTTCATAATACTACGAATAGTCAGGAGAAGGTCCCATTTACAGGCAGCTGAATAAACGGGGGGTCAAAAGTTAAGTGACATGCCAACATTCCTAGAGCTAGCAAGAGCTGGAACTGGCACTGGAACCAAGGTCTCCATATCCTTGCTTTCCACTATCTTAAACTGAGAGCTTTCCACTATCTTAAACTGAGAGCTTTCCACTATCTTAAACTGTTTATTGGCTTAAGTTGCCACCATGACATTTATATTGACATGTATTGGCACCTCAGATGCTGCACAGTGAATGTTGCCTAGCCTCTTTGATCTGAATTACTGCTTGGCTCTTGTTACTTTAACAGTACAAATTTCAACGGGGCAAGTACTGTTTTGTCCAATACTTACTTACTTGAGAAGCTCTTACCGAGCATCCAAATAACACCATTTAATAGTAAATTATAGTTTGACTAGTGTTTGTTATGACTGAGCTTCTGAAAATTAAAACTATGGCTTCAGCTAAATTAGATATCTTCTTTATTTTAAATTGAAAAAATCAATTTGATTTCATCTGCATCCACTAATCAACTGATCTTTAAACTGCAAGTGGTAACAAGAACGGCTAACACTAACATCCAAATGGCTTTTCTAAACGTGTGTTTATGTGTGTTATTTCATGCAAGATTCTGAGGCAAATTCTGTACTCTGGCTTTAAATAAGTTTCTATTCAATCTCCTCACTAAGTTGTTAGATAGATGCAACTTCTTTAAAAATTCAGGGTATCAGTGTAATTGTAGAGTAGACTGATCTGTCTCTGCATGGGGGGCTACAGACAGCTGAAGCCAGGAAAGAGACACACTCACTGTAACTTGTTTGTGATCCCATGACCAATATATACTTTCTCTCCTGTCTACTGCATCCTTCTCGTAATGTCTAGTCATTGCCAAGAAACTCTTAATTCATTCCTAGCACTAAGCAGTAAGAATAATGTTTCCCACTTTCTTCTTATAAACCCAAAGTTTCAGGTCTGCTGAACAATTCTCAGTGTCCTTTAGAGGAGAAACGAGCCTCAGGAGAGGGAGTGGTAATTCCTCATTTGGTATTGTTTTCCTGCCTGTCACTGCCTCACACCAGGACCTCTAGTCAGCACTTTGCTGGGAGATTCTGAGGGACAATTAGTTGCTGCTTTTGCTGGCTGGTTGAAAACAAAGCAAAAACTTTTTCAAGGCAGGAGAAGTTAAAACCTAAACATCCTAACAATTGCACACTTTAAAAATCCCTCAATTCGCTCATTAAGAATCGAGATTCACAAGGTCTCAGTCAGCTCACTGCAGCCCCATTTGCCTTCAACTGTCAGAACTGCCCTCACTTGGCTTGTTTCCACGTGTCCCACATAAGCTGTACCTTAAATGTAACTCTATATCCATATATATCATGGCACAGAGTGAACTGTTTGCCTAAACACAGAATAAAGACCGGAGTTAAAATGTTTGCTTGCTCTTTGCTAGAAATATATTTATTTAAGAAAGTCCTAGTAGAATGAGAACGCAGAGGTTAAAAATATTGCACGTAATTACGAAAGCGCAACGTTGGTCACCCTCATTAACTACGGAGCTGTGAGAGGAATAGTCCAGTGACTCACTAATGCTTTTTAGTTGTTAGGTTTTTCTTTCTAACAGCATCGGCCATGACCTAATTTGCTTCCTAAGAATCGTTACTTTTTTACCTTAGGGTCCCAGCACCCCCGGGTCATCAGAAGCACAGGGGTCCCTCCTGAAGCCCAGCAGTTTCGTAATGTGGACCCAGATGGGAAGATGGGAAGCAGGGGGAACTCCGTCCCACTTACCGGTCTTCCACAGATAGAGGGTGGGTGCCTCCGCCGCGCCCGGCGCCGCAGCCCCGCAGGCGCCCAGGCACAGCAGCAGCGGCAGCAGCAGCGGCAGGACGGCCGGGCACGGGCCCGCAGCGTCGGGGCTCCGGGACGCCGTGCGCCTCGCTTGCAGCCCCATGCCGCCCGCAGCCGCTCCAGGGTCCAGGTCCGGGACGCGGTTGGCAGGGAATGTTCCTTTGCCCTCGGAATGTCTTCCCAAGTACAGAACGCAAAGCTCTCCCCGCTATTGTTCTTGTCAGATGAAAAGGAGGGAAAGCGCGTTTAACACCAGGGAACAATAGCTTCTGCGGCGGCCGTGGCTGCCGCCGCCACCGCCACTAGCGGGGATGCTGCTGCCGCTGCCATTCCGCGCAGAGTGGCAGGTCCTACAGGCGAGAGAGGCAGCCGTCCGCAGGGGGCCCCAGCTGACGGAGCAGGTCCCGAGGTCCGGGAGGCAGCGCAGCCCCCGCCGCTGCCAGCTGGAGAGAGAGGAGGGGGGCGTGAGCCGACAGGAGCACCGAGGGAGCCGCAGGCAGGGGGAGGCGAGAGAGCCAGGGCAAGAAAGAAGGCGAGCGAACGGGAGCGGGGGCACCCACAGCCAGCACACCCACCAGAGAACTCCAGTGCACATGGCGCGGTGAAATATGTTTGGACGGATACACCACTAAAAAGAATCATCACCCGACAGCCTTCCGCATGACAAATAACAGGCTCTGAAAAATCATCGTCACCCAAGGAGTCAAATGCTAGCTCTAGTGGCATGTTCTTCTTAGCATATATTTATTTACGCAAAGCATCAGTGTTTATCATTTATTTTTAAGCCGTGGCTTCTGAATTACTTTATGTGGGGAGCAGTATTTATGATCAGATGTGAAAAACGTAGGAAAACAGCAGAGATGTTTACTTGCTGTTGAGAGGCACTTAAACTCTTCTTTAAATCTTTTCTTTTTAACTTAAAGGAATCTATTCCCAATAAAAATATGAGCAGTATTGATCTACGGTTACAAATCAAAGTACATTGTCTTTTAACAGCCTTTAAAACTGAATTAGTATTAATAAGTATCCACAATGATATCTAATTAGATGGATAACATTTTACAAAAACTAATCATGAAATTATATTTCACCTATGAAGTTAATAAAAGTGCTATCCCTTTATCTACACTCTGTCAAAAATATGCTACCTTTAGGGATCCACACAGTTCTGAGTAAAATTAAAGAACAAAGTGAGTTTCCTTTATTCGTGTATCTGCAAATTAGTAAATTATTTACTTAAAAATCCTTGACACTAATGTCTCTTAACAGATACTGTAGAAAAATGCCTTTATAATCTATATAATCTAATGTGCTTTGGGCCTTTTGTTCTTTGTGTTTTCACTTTCTTAAACCAGTAGTAATAAAGGAATGTGTGTGAAGTCAGACAATGCTTTGCCCTTTCTCTTTCTCTCTTCTCCCCAATACTAACCCTTTACTAATTCATTTCCTAGTAAAACTAAAATGATATCAAGGCATTTAGCCAATTAAAAACTGGGCAAAAAGAAAGCCAAAGAAAACTATTCACATCCGGTCAGCAATATCTGGCCAAATAAAATAAAATTTAAAAAGCAGGAAAACTACTCGTTATGAATTTGCTCCATCAGCACAGCCAACCCAAGAGTTTAAAATGAGGAACCTACTGTTTCTGAAAGAGGAAACCTTCCATAAAGCTCTCTTGGGACGCCTGTCGTTTTGCAGATCATTCCAGACACAGCCCTGCTGCATGCATTAGATTAAAAGCAGGTTTTGATCAAATAATTCCCAGTTCCTGCCTATTTAAGTATTCTGACATCAGAGGAAATTAGCAATGTTGAAGGTTGCAAATTTGGTCCTTATTTACTTTCCACTCTGTTAGGCCTCTAAGAGGGAATTAACAGCTCAGAGAGCCCTAGCTCTGCGAGTCTGTGATTAGGAGAGAAAAACTAGGGTGGATTACTGTTTCTTCACTGGTGAAAAATAGGCAACAATCAAAAGATTATAGGTTGATAAGGGATACAAAAAAGCCTGATTCCAACTTATGTGTGGCTCCCTGAAGGAGCACTTGTTTCAAGAGTTACACCGAAGAAGAAAATAGAAAATAGGAATTGTACGGCTTCCTTGGGTCTGTCTTCTTAGGGAACACACTGTAATACCACTCTACAATGGCAGTGTTTTCCTATCCTATTTGTTTTTATTTCTCAGCTACTGTTAGGGTGCTAAACCCTAAAACCATCTAATTCGGACACAGAGAGCATTTAAAATGAAGTACTCTGTTAATCAGCCCATTCTAAGCATTCTGGGGAAGTCCCAGATCAATCCACCAAGTAGAAACTCATTAAATAAGAGAAGACAGAGAATCTAAGGAGTCAAGCTAGTACAATTTGATGTGCAGGATAATTACTTGGCCCTTTGAAAAGCCATCAGATGCTATACCTAATAGCTTAATATCAAAATAAAATTTAAGATTCTGACTTTTATATTTATCCATAGTTGTGAAATAATTACTCAACTGGTCAAGAGTTTAAACATCATAGCTAGAACTTAAAGCATTATATAAAACAACCAGGGACCATTTAACAACTAGGGTTAATGTTCTGCTGTAGTGTTTGAAACTAGCCAACAATTGGTTTCCTTCTTTTACTTTCAATTTATACAATGCTTACAGATCACTCCAAATAATATTACTCAGCCATAAAATCAAATGAAATAATGCCATTTGCAGCAACATGGATGGACCTAGAGATTATCATACTAAGTGAAGTCAAACAAAGACAAATATGATACCACTTATATGTGGAATCTAAAAAAATGATACAAATGAACTTATTTATAAAACAGAAGCAGACTCACAGACACAGAAAACAAATTACGGTTACCAAAGGGGAAAGGTGGAGAGGGATAAATTAGGAATTTGGGATAAACAGATACATAATACTTTATATAAAACAGATAAACAAGGGCCCACTATACAGTAATGGGAACTATATTCAATATCTTGTAATAACCTATACTGGAAAAGAATTTGAAAAATAGATATATACATATGTGTATGACTGATTCACTTTGCTGTACACCCAAAACAGTGTAAATCAACTATATTTCAATTAAAAAGTTTTTTTAAAAATTTAAGAGTTAATAAAAAAATCACTCTAGATACATACACATGTACAATTAGTAATAAAGATACCACTGGACAAGGTTACAGAAACTAAGTCATATAAACATTTGTCTCTGCCAATGCCACACATCTGTTCTATAACAATGTCATTATTGCACTTGAGGACAAAAATGTATGGGTCTCTGAGGACACAGAAACGATATATATTTTCAGATACATGTTCCTTTGTGAAAGCTATAGTGTCCAGTCAGATAAATCCTATCAATAAAACTGATAGATTACAAGAGATAGCAAGACATAGCAATCTTTGTTTTCTAGCATATGACATAAATAATACACAAATGTTTAACGACATGATGTCAAAATTTAGTCATGAGAAGTCTCAAAGATGCAGATTAAATTGACCATCTGTACAGCCTGCCATGAAGTAAATCGTTCATCATTTTTCATAAATAACTGTTCAAGTATTAATGAACCAGGGATATATAAACGTTTCCAAACCAATGGATGAAAAATGCAAAGCATGTATGTTTTTTAATATTTAGAAATAAGACAATTCTGAACCTATCACATCTCATGTGTTATCCTTTTATCTGTCTTTATTATTTTTGCTGTCATTTCCAAACTCCAGAGAGGGTGGGTGTGTACAGATCTACACATGTGTTATCTCTTTTATTAGAACATAAGCATATAACCATACTTGAAGACCCAAAAGACATACAGACAATGACTTGCAGGGATTAGTACCAGCATTTAAAGTCAATCATCAAAAATTCATTTACTTGACAGAGAGGGAAACTTTTAATATCATCAGTTTTTATGAAGAAAAACAATGAGTAAATGAAGGAATATATACAAAGTTACTCACAGCTACATAGAGAAGTATCTAAGAATATCCACTTAGAAATAACAACTTTAAACAAATTTCTCTACCTAAATGTGTCTTGCCTTATAAAAAAAAAAAAATCACCCAAAGGAATTCTGTTTGTATGGCCTCTAGGTGTCATACTTGACCAACATTTGGGGTAGAAAAAATTAATTTGGGGCTTCTTTCTATTCCCCCCCTTCTTGCCACACCCACGAGATTATTAAAAGATGAAACATTTCCCTTTTTATCTTTGTAATAAGTAGCCACAAATTTTACTTTCCCAATTCTGACTCTAATATTCACCATTTATTTTCTTTCCAATTCCTTTTTCTTTATAACTACTTTGTTTGTTGCTTGGTTAGTTGATTAGTTTGCTGGTTTGTAGGTATATGTGGTGAGGGGAGGGGAGATTCTAAATTTCAAATAGTTTTACAGAAAGAAAATAAACCCCATGGTTTCTCCATTTTACTCAAAACTAAACCTGTTTGGAAACAATAACGATCTGCTATGAATAATCAGATTCCTTGTTTTGAGTGTCAGGTAAAAAGGTACAGTATTTTGGTTCAGATCCTTCTAGGTTTGGGGAATGGATCACTTACTGTAAGCCTTACAATAAGGATCCCATCCTCGGTGGTATGTGAGGCATCAATAGTCCCTGACATAATGCAGTTCACCAGGGGTTCACTTGGGAGAATGCTTCCATACAGGACACCCAGGCCAATGCAATGATTCAGGTATTTGAGAGGGCAGAGGAATAATGTATACAAAGGCAATAGAAGTGACTAGCTATCACTAGTTGTGTTGGTCCTACAGATGGATAATGAAAAGGTACTGACCTTTAACAAGCAATTGAAAACTAAATATGAAGGAAAGGAGCCCTTAAAAAGAGACCCTTGTCTCCTGCAGTGGCAGAGTTAAAGAGAAAAAAAAAAAAAAAAGCTGAAGATCAAATTAAAACTTAATAGTTAAGAGTTGACAACTGCAAAGATAATTGAATGATCAACTGAGGCAAGTTTGTTATGAAAAGATCAGGGTCTGCTTAGGAAAACCTTGAACCTGACACATGGACAAGTTTCTCTGGGTCAATGCGCACATGTCTTTGGTTCTCCAGGCTCCTCTGAACTCACAAAGCCTTCTC